TTAGTTTTACGGCTTATTTTTTTCTCAGTAAACCATTGAATATTCCTCCCACTCTAGGGGAAATGCCCTTAGACGGTATTAGCAATTTTATGGATAGATGTTGCGTAAATCTACTCCCACAGTAAGCCCGTCGGATACGACGGTCTAACTGTAGTTATTTAATGCTGGGGCGTTGTTATCACCGGTAATGCGTGGTCGCCCACTTTACTAACAATGCACTTCAATCTCGAAATATTATGACTTCCTGACTTCGTAACATTAGTGAGTCGAGGAATTGCAAATCCTCGGCACCTTTCTCGTTAGGGTTATGGTAGGCACTTATGTGCGGAACAAAACGCTGACTATGGAGGTCCTAAAGTTGACTTGTAGTCATACTGTTCTTCAACTGGAAACTGTCAACTGGCGAAAGAATGGTTTCCTGTCATCTATCTCATTCACAACTGCTACGACTTTAGCCCAAATTACATTCTGTTGACTAAGTCACCCGCCCAATGACTTATCTTTCATGGACTTCACGCTCCACACAGCAAACAATGCCGTATCTGGTTGTTTTGCTGTTTTAAGAGGTTCGTTTTACATTGTGAATGGCGAATACAACTTTAGTTAAAAAACACGCGTGTTTTTTATAACCAAGTCCAGTAGCCTATTGAGTATATAGTCATGTTCGGTATATCCGGAGAATTGTGACCTATATGGGGCATTGTCTTGACCTTGGTTTTTTCAGTATATGACTATGCTGGCTTAGTCCAATATCACCTACCTTATTGCAACCATTCCTTCAAAGCATCTCGGCAAGATTATTCAACGGGATTTCTTTCCCGATTTGGACGCAGCTAAAGGCGGCAGTGTTCCGGCGCCCGAAACTCCTGATGGGGGACCTTCAACTCTAAGTACTCCAAACAGGACCAAGGGTCTCCCTTCGAGAAATCCAGAATTGGACCCAACTGCTATGAACCTAGACAAGTATCTGGCCAACAATACCACCGAAGACAATGCTTCTTTCATCGAAATAATTGAAGATGCGGATAGGAGGCGTGGGGCCAAATTGTCGGAATTCTTTCCGCGCTATGCACCCGAAGCGGTAGGTTCTGCGCTCTTTGTTAAAGAAATTATACAGCTTACACTGCTATCTCATTTTTGACAAATTTATTTGACGTACTTCTCCAGTTGTGTTTTAGAATAAACGATGGTAAAACGGGCTCTTCGTCTATATTCTGATTGAGTGCTACGATCGCATAATGCAAACTTTCAGTCCATGTTTTTATCGTTTCATTGCAGAGCGAGAAAGAAGTTTATAACTGTTAAAGTCTATAGTACAATGCTCGAGTGTTGCGTTCGACTGCCAAATGTCCCGGGTTCGAATCTTAGTGGTTGCCACCCCTAGGATTATGTATGACTGATTGATGATGGATAAACCAGAAATGGTCATTCCGCTTTCTCTTGTCTTTGTCTGTTCCACTTCATATATTTTATGAATTTTCTTACTGACGCTTAAGGCTAAGGGACTAGTTGCGGCTTTTTTACCTTTCAAGGAACACTGTGGCGGCTGCTATCTTTATTGCGATCGACCTCATACTCTTTCGTTTTGCTGTGTAGTTGTCAATAGTATTTGTCGCGTATCTAGTAAAGAAGATAAAAAAA